TGTATGTTATTTTACTTCATTTATCGCAAGGTGTCCTCTATCTGTGTAGCGAGTGCAATCATGGTTATTGACACTGATTTATTTAATTACAGATATCTACACAGGTTACGATACAGAATTTAGGTCACCTTTTTCGTTTATCTAATTACTAATTAATCGAGCGATTAATCTATAGTCGAATAGTAATAACAAATCGATGATACCGAAACAGTGGCGTGCATGTACGATCCCTTCTATAAATTATACACTGTTTTTATTGGAATCTGAATCGAGGGTAGCTCCCGTAACTGCATAGATATACATTGTATCTAGCACGAACCGAAAATAGAGAGAACGAGACGAGAGTCGCGAAAAGGACTCTGATAAAATAGATAAAAGATTAGCTCGTGAGCGACCGGTTCAATTATTAAAAAATGGAATGTCGAATAACCGCGTCAATTTCTTTGTTTGGTCATTAGAAAAAAAATAAGAAACACGAGAACTTAACCGAATGCAGCTAATTTATTCCCGAAACTTACAATGTAACGTTAACTGCATCCGCAGTAGCTTGCTGTCGCTGTAATTTCGCCGACTAACCCGATGAATATTTATAAATCATTTCTATGTTTAACTTCGCGCGATATCTCTTTACGGAGATTAGATGAATGAATAAATTTCTTGCCATGACTTATTATCGTACACGAATGTTTTTTTGCGGTAACAGCTACTTGAGACGAAATATGGTAGGCGCCCGAGTAAAATGCGTCCTTTGAATAGAGATGAAGAAGAAATGGAAGTCTAAGAATAGGTATCACAAAAAATACAAGCGGCTTCTGTTTATTCAAGATCGAACGTCATTATCTCCAACGTTTGGTGAAAGTTTACGTTTCATTTTTCACTTTACGATAGATACCGATTGACGACTACTCTCCGTTATTGAACGTAATTTAGAGCTATCGAAGCGTTGTTTGCACTTCAATTCGAGAACTAAGGATAGTAAGTGTAATCTTACTAGCGATAATTGATGCTTCGGACTCTAATTAAACTCCACTTATAATTGTAATCGGTAGTTAGATTGTACATTGCGGAATGGAATTTCTAAAAATCAAGTTTTACCGGATGGTCGTCAATTCTAAATGTTCATTTTATTCTGAATCATTTGTCACTTTCTCGGTTGTTCCGATTTCACGTGAGAGTAGAAAATATTAAAACGTCGAGTAAATAGTATTTACGACGTGTTACGTCTAATGTATCGATGAAAATATTCCGGTTAGTTTTCCCTCCAAAATATCTAGGGTCTCGTGTTCCCAAACAAAGAAGCTTACCGGTATTGATTTTCTCTTACGTGATATAATGGCAACAAAGAATTACATGCGATGCTCTTGTTGTTACATCCTAAGGAAACATCGTAATTTTTGTGGTGTATTTACCGTGCAAAAGTAAAATTAATGATGCAAGGTTATATTTCTATCTTGCTAGAAAGATCTCAAACTTTCATCAATGATCATATTCTTAAATCATTATGACATGTATTTTGATAAGTCAATGATTATTTTCTTTATATCATAATATTGTTATGTCTTTCTGAATTGAGTTGCATCGTGTACTTTACTTACATTGCATTTGTATTAAATTGTGAATGTGATTCCAATTCATAATTGTATAAATAATACACTTCAAATGATTAACGCAACATATCTTTTACTAACAGGTGTCCATTTCTTCACCGCACTGCTGGAGACACAGAAAGACGTTACCATCTTCGTTATTACAAGACTTGCATGTGTGTCCATGATACGGATACACGTGGATTCTGTGTCAAGAATGGACCTCATTGTGCCTTTGCACATGGCAATCATGATCTTCGTCCACCTGTTTATGACATCAAAGAAATACAAGCGCTGGAAAATCCTGATTCAGATCCTAATTCATCGTCAAACGGACCAAACATACTTGACAAGGAAAGAAATTTAATGAACGAAGACCCAAAGTGGCAAGATACAAATTATGTACTCAGTAATTATAAGACAGAGCCTTGCAAACGTCCTCCAAGACTATGCCGTCAGGGTTATGCTTGTCCACAATATCACAATAGTAAGGATAAAAGACGTAGTCCACGTAAATATAAATATCGGTAAGTAATTTCAAATCCATTGACGAATCTATTACAGAGTGATGTGAGTAAGTTTTTATAATTTTTCGTCAACTGACCATTTCTTATTTCTTTGTCAGATCAACACCATGTCCTAATGTAAAGCATGGAGAAGAATGGGGTGAACCGGGTAATTGCGAACAGGGAGATGCTTGCACATATTGTCATACGCGTACAGAGCAGCAGTTTCATCCTGAAATTTACAAATCAACAAAATGCAATGATGTGCAGCAGGCCGGTTACTGTCCACGCGGAGTCTTCTGTGCATTTGCACATGTCGACCGTGAGTGTACCCTCATAAATCGTACGTAAAACACTTATTATTACCTTAGTAAGTTCAGAAGTTCTTTTCACATTTCTTTTCGCTTTGGCCGCGCATTACTTAATCGCTTGATAAGCAATCTAAAGCAGCAACGTATCTTATGATTTACTAACTTATATAAGCGGGCTTCTGTTGCTTTCACATGAAAAAGCATTTTGGCGTTTAGTTGTCTTTGCGGATTGTATCTAATAGACGTAGGCATTTTGTACACGATAAACTTAGTATTCAAAATTGCTTCTCAAAATTGATATATTGGGACGTTGGTATGGTGTGCTGATGGAGCAGTGTTGCCAACAGAAGAAATGAGCCTGGCGAGGGACATGGCGGTACCTATAGATTGTGGCACCAATCTGGCAGATATTCTCAGTAATGCGCTTCCACCTGACAAGCGCAGTCATGAAAAAGATAAACCGCTTAGCGATAGCAGTGTAAGTTTGCAAACTGTGTATTATATAGGGAAAATTTCTTGTTTCGACGCTATCGAAAATTTCAATTATAGAATGGAAGCGGCGAAGTATCAGAGTCAGCAAGTACCAGTAGCATTGGTAGCAACAGTTCACACAGTAAAGCTCCTGGTGCTCAACTTCATAATTCTAATTCAAATACCGCTGTAAATACTTCCACTCAACAGAAGTTAAGCATATTGTACAATCCTAGTTCTCTTCTCCAGGTTGTAAGTTTTACTTTCTCTATGCAGTAAAGTTGTTATCGCAAATGATTAGAAATAATTTAATAGCGAGTTTAAAAATGTTAAACAGGGTGAAATTCGAAAGCAAATGGTTGCTATAGATAGTGATCCTTTATTAACAAAAGCTGAGAAGGCTCAACAAAAACAAAGTTTATACATAGCATATAGTTTGAATGGAACTTTGGGCAGTCATTCGTTAGCAACTACCGTCTCACCACTTTCAAGTTCATTTTATCCAAATGATACCGTTGAGTCTGTAGTAGGTAAGTTAATTTCTACTATGAAAGGTCGGTTAGGTTCTTCTTTCTACTTTCACCTGGGTAATTATTATTCATTTTTATTGCATTTTCAGGAAATGCATTAGAGGAGTTGCATTTAGATGATCCTTTAAATTTAGTTGAAACAATTCATAGGGATACTAATTCACCAATTAGCAATTCAATATCGGCAGGCCTAGCAAGTTCTGGATTATTGGGAAGCTCAGCTCCGGTTAACATCCCTGAACGGATGGCTGAACGTTCGGTTCTTACCAATTTTTCACCCTCTACGTCCAGTCCACTTCAGCAGCTTCATTCAGCAAGTTTTCTTACTGGATCCAGATTTTCTCATCAAGATTCTATGGAGTCGGTAAGTTAAAGCTTTTTCAAGTTCAAATTATCACCAAAGATTGTTCCAGTATTATTTATTTTATTTTTTTTAATGATTTCAGACAATGCCATTTATGAATCAAGTATCAGATCCATTTAGCAATCATATCTCACAACTTAGCAGTTCAGCATCTAAACTTAGTGGATTCAATAGTAGCTTATTTGATTTTACGAATCAAGGAATGTCTCCATCTCGTACACAACCTCTCCCAGCATCTCCGTTGGTCAATGCATTTTCCATCAGTCCTAGTAATACAGGATCTTTGTCCGAGGTTAGACGTTTCCCCAATTTTTAAATCGAACATCATTATCGAATTATTAATTCGTAAAAGAGCCGATTCATGGTTAAATGATTTTTCGTAGGTACAGAGGCTTAGAGAAGAATTAACATCAAGTCGCGCTCAATTAGCAACATGGGAAGAACGAATTAATCAAGCTAGAGCAGCTTGTGCGGCATGGCAATTAGAAACCGAAGAAGCTGCGAGTAGAGCAAGAATCGCTGAACAGCAAAGAGATGAAGTAAGTGTTTCTATTATTGTACACTTATATGCGGATGAATTACCAACAACAATCACATATTATATTTTTTTTCTTACGTTATCACTTAATCGTTATTCCGTTGTGAATTGTATTCGGTAAACATTAAATATATAAACTATTAACAGGCCTTATTGAAAGTAAAAGCTTTGACGGCCGAAAACGAAGCGTCCAGCGGTGGCCCTTACCTTCATACGCTAAGAAGAACAAGTGAACTCAGATCGTTATCGATAGCTGCGTTAAAATCAATTCAGTCGCAGCTTCGCTCGGATCTTGAAGAAGTAGAAAAGGTAAAACAAAGTTGTCATGCCGGTTTAAACAGCTGGTATATGAAGCGATTCTCAAATAATTATTAATTTATCGAAAAGGATGCGAAAAAATTCATTTTTACTACTAATACTAATACTACTACTACTACTACTGCTACTACTGCTACTACTGTTACTACTACTGTTACTACTACTCCTACTCCTACTCCTACTATTACCTATCTACTGCTACTTATACTACTATTACCACTGCTACTACTATTATTATTACTACTACCTCATCTTTATCATACTATTCTCTTTACATATGAAAACGTTTCAAATTATTTATCAAACGTGTTTAATAGTATAGTTAATGTTTATGATTAGATTAATGGGAACAGTATAGGTAGCTGAGTCGTTGCCGTTACAGGTGCTGTACAGAGAAACGGCAACAAAGTGCATGGTTTGTGAGGAACAAAATCGCACTGTTACCCTCTCACCCTGTAACCACTACGTGGTCTGCTCGACGTGCGCTCCAAATCAACGAGAGTGCCCGTACTGCCAGACTCCGGTTGTCTCCACGAGTTAGGTCTGAATACTTTGTTAGAACTTCCCGTTGTTACAATTACCGCAGTTTTTCAGTAACAAGGACAAATACTATCTCAGAACTCTAATGTGAGAGGAACGTTAGAAAACTTCATATGAAACCAGTACTTTGAACATGACGATGGTATATAAAAGAATTTCAAGAAATTTTACTGCGGAACACGTAAGATCACAATAGAGGAGCTGAAACAAATTACAGCAATATTATAATTTGACTATCGCCAAAGTTAATACGGATGTGATAAGACTTCGTGTACGTAGTCTCTATTTGTCATATTTCTTGTGTCAACAGTTATTATCTGTTATATAGCTTGTCTATAAAGGTTCTGATGTCGCATCCTCTATATTAAGAACACATATTATTCATCTTGGAATGGAAAACATCTTTATTTAATGTATAATTCAAAGTACATTTATTAGCCAGGGTGCTAGCTGAAATAGTTAGCATTTATAAACCGGTATGTGTATCGGTTACATAACACATCAGGTAAAAAGAAATAATATAATCAGAATGATGATGACGATGATGATGATGATGATGATGATGATGATGATGATGATGATTATGGTGATGATGATGATGATGATGATGATGATGATGATGATGAT